TTACCGTTAACGTACCGTACCTAAACGTAGTACGACTTAACTACTTAACGTTACGGTACGTACTACTCTCTACTTCTCACTACTCTCTCTTCTTCTCTCTCTCTCTCTCTCTCTCTCTCTCTCTCTCTCTCTCTCCTCCACACCCTATTTCTTTCCTCTCTCTACTTTTCTCTCTAGCTATCGGGCACCGCCAAGGAGGTCTACTAGGGAGGTGCACGCCCCACCAATCCCATGGCTAAAGGGAGGTGCCATGCCTAGGTCCAACGTCAGCCCAAGTGTGGTACGCCCCACATAGAGGGGTTTTTTTTTTTTCCATTTCAAAAAGTGCTTGTTCGCCCCACATAGAGGGTTGAAAAGAAACCACAGCCACACTGTGTTGAGGGTTGAAAAGAAACCCTAAATTGCTTCAATGTTTTCTCTCTTGGTTATGCTCTCTCATCATCAGAGCCTTTTCCCAACAGATTGGCTACACAAATCCTGGTCCACCATTATGATCTATCAAGGCTCATATCTTCAATAAGGCCATAAGTCCCCATATCTTTTCTCAATACTTCCAACCATGTCCTTTTGTGTCTGCCATGGTTATGCTCTCTACCCCTATATAATTATAGAATTTCCATAATTGCTTCTTATCTTAAAGAGGATTCAGAAGGGACCACAAGATAAGTGCACTATTAGTTTCGTGATCCAGAGTAGGGTATAGTAAGTTCTATGGACGTGATCCAAGGCATTAGTTTGTTCTGGTAAGTGGCTTCCCAGTTATTGATTCATATTTGTCTACTGCAATTGATGCTTTTTTTATGAATAAAGTTTACATTTTAGGGTAGTAAATGTGCGATCCTTAGATTGTAGTAGGTTTTATTTTATACTTTGCATTGTATGTGGCCCATGTAAATAGACAAGTTGTTTATAGACAAAGCAAATAAATAAATAAATATTTTGACTATAGCATACACGTATTCTACATAACCCAGCAAAAAGGAAAACTATACTATCATTAATGGTTAACAACAAACGTATTATACAAACAAACAGAAATTTATAGAGAAGTAGAGGAATCAGGTAATGTCCAAAAGGAAAAAACAGATAGATTCGATATAGAACAATTAAAAAAAACAGATAGATTCAATATAGAACAATTAAAAAAGAAGTTAGTTTTTAATACAACGCAATCAAGACCCTAACTGCAAGTGATCTTAAAAGACGGCAGACATTTTTTATAAGAAATCCACTAACCTATGTTACCCAAAAAAAAATAAAACAAATCAGATATCCGCTAACCTATTTCTGAATCCAAAAATGCCATAGAATGAGATTTCAGCGGATAGGGAGAGGGTGATGAATTCCTTCATAGCATTGGCAATTTTTGATAGAGACATTGTTTCTTGGCATCACAAAAAATGATATACCCACTCTACCACCTACCCCATTACAGCAGCAGGATGGATGGGGCAAATAAAATGAATATGCAGGCCCAAAAATATGGATCAAGCAATATTCAGGTCACATAATGATATATCACCATTTCTAAATATGCTGCATGTCTCTAAGGGCATTCTGGGGAGCACGTAGATCAAATTAATTTTACATGTATAAGACTCTTTGGAAACTACCCAAAAAACAACTTTTGAAGATTGGTGCAGTTATCTGAATTATGAATGTCATATGTGAGTGAACTAGTCCTTGTATTACTTTTTACAAAAGCTAGATTCTACTCCATTCTTCTCCAAAATAATGTAGAACACAAGAGAAAGTAACCAAATTACATCTTAAACATGCTTCCTATGCCACCTCTAAAAATTTGTTCCATTTTAGTATTTCTAGAAAATGGCGTATGTAACCAAAGTTCTGTAGACATACAAATATTGATTCCTTTGATCTTTCCTAATGCTGAACTCTGGGCTACTATCTTCATTTCTCAGAGAGAATTACACAAGCAGAGAATCTCTTCTTAAAGCGAATTAAAAAGTTTTTTAACAGTCTCAGAGTTGAAGTCTAAAGTCTTTAGACAAAACATATCTCCAGGGAAATCAGGAAAAGAAACAGCAAACTCAGTGAAATAAAGGCAGTGAACGAACAAGAAGAGCAAACCTCATAGCACCAGCAGCGAGCAACATTGCGAATGGTGTAGCCTCCACCTCCAAGAAGCATCAGTGGTACATTAAAGGATCTAAGAAACCTCACACAATCAGCATGCCCTTTGACCGAGAGATTAAAACACCCTAGCCTGTCACCAGAAAGAGAGTCTGCCCCACACTGCAAGACAACTGCTTCAGGCTGGTATACTTCCATAACCTTCTGAATGATAGGTCTAAATAAGTTTTTATAACTCTCATCGTCAATCCCATCATTGAGTGGCACATTGAGTGAGTAGCACTTCCCTTTCCCATATCCTACATCTTTAAGGTGACCCGTGCCAGGAAAATAGTCACCAAATTTATGAAAAGATACAGTCATAACACGGTCTGTGGTGTAAAAGGCCTCTTCCACCCCATCACCATGATGAATATCAATATCGATGTAGAGTACACGCTGCAATTATAAAGCAACAAAAACATCAACAAACAACTCATTCATATCATACTAGGTTTTAATTTCAAACTCATAATAAAGTTGTCCATAAGAACAACCTTGAAAGCTATTGAATAAGTATGTCCTATATGTTATGTAATATTTATAAAACTAACTCATCACAAAATCCAATTCCAACTGATCGCATCATAGATAATTAAATAGATATTACTCTTCAATTGGAAGAGCAAAACCAAAAAACAGACAAAAACAAGATGCTGCATTGACACTCCCATAAGAGCAGTGTTCCAATAGTTCATGAAATGAATTCCAAGGAAAGCGGATCCTAGTCAATTTTGTCATGGAACCCTGGCATGGGATAAACAACAGCAACAGCAGACAACTATATGCAGGAAAGGTACCCAAGAAGGAAGGTTTTGACCATAGGAGATTAGGTTGGGTAAAGGAGTCAGGGAGGTGTATGCCGATTTAGGAAGGCCACAACAACGTCAAAGTAGGTGAGCTAATTTGTTGATAGTTCCCCATTTCTATATCTTGCTTAAAGTACTTTTCTGAAGACAACTCCTTAAGTTTTCCAGAAAATGTGCAGGAAAAAGGGACATTCTCAAGACAAAAGCAAGATTCCTTTAAACACTACCCAATAGAGGATGGGTGTATACTGTCATTGACAAGTTTAATCATAATATATAAACAGATTTGAACAAATGGAAATGAGTGTTTTCTCATTTGCAGAAAATAGGGAAATCAAGACTTTTCAAAACTAGTCAAGGACGACCATATAGCTGATGCTTCCACAAGTTCCATAGGAGAGAGAGACTGAACATAGACATCAATGCAAAGTTTGTTTAGCGTATTGACAAAGCTGACGAGGAAAGGGAGGGTTTGGGGGAATGGACATTAGCAAGTGCAAACCTACATTACAGGCTAGTAGTGTTTATTCCTAGCCACAATATAGAACGTAACCAGTCCATTTCAATCCCCAAGAAACTTTAATTCCAGAAAAGACAAATCATGAATGGAGCTCCAATTCCGCAGAACTAAATTGGTTTTAGGCCCAAGTCACTAAGTAGTGAGAGTTTGTTTAGTGGTTAAAGTTGACCTTAAGAAAGTCAGTGACCATCTACATTACAATGACTACTTGAGGCGGCGAATAGACTTTGGCTCGAGATGGATGGGATGGGATAAGGAACCTATTTCCATGAATTCAGCCAACAACAATGATCAAATTTATACTTTTGAAGAAGCTCACAACTGCTTTGGTTAATGCTGACTCGTCCTCATATTCTCTCCTCCTTGTAATGGCAATCTTGTCATCTTGTGAAAGAACATTGTGCTCTTCTCACCCCCTTTTAACCACCAGGCCCTTGACTTTCTGGGATTACTTCTCCAAACTAACAAGCTTAATATTGCTGCCAATGATGTTCCTCTCACTCTTTCTTCCACTCTCAACAGTGCAAATTCTTCCCTTTTATCAAGGGCAAAGATCTCATCAAGAAATTTGGTCTTTTTCTCTCCAACATTCTCAATATTGGCTATGTTCTTCTCTTTTTTTCTCTTTCCAGGGATGTTCTACTCATTGAGCTTGCCCTTTATCTCTTAAAGCTTCTCCTAAAGGCAGAGATAAGCCATGCCTGGACCGTGGAATCTTTCAAGCATCTTTATTTAATTTAATAGAAGGGAGGTTTGCAAAGCCAGGCAAAATCCGGGCAGTGAGAGAAAGGAAGTTTGCCCCGTTCGTGTGAGGCTCAACAATGGAGTTCACTTAATCGATAGCGAGGGAGTGGCCTCGTATACGACTCCTCTTCCTCGCCTAACAGGAAAGACCAGGGCACCACGAAAGCATAAGGAACTTCCGAACTTAATAATTTCATGTGAGCCTAAGTGTCCTAGGCACATGTTCTCAAGTCAGAAGGAACAAGGCTCTCCACTCACCAGTAACATATCCAAGTGAAACACGTGAATGGCCTAGGCCAATTCTGGGAGAACATCAAGAGTCAGCCTAAGGTAAAACAAGTTCCCAATTTTATTGGGAATACGAACATGACTCTACATATCAGCAGATTGACCTAGTAACTATAGCAGACATATCAGCAGATTGACCTAGTAGCTATAGCAGGCAAAATTTTGCCACCTAACAGGAAATTTACTAAATTACAAAGTGAATCAAACTTTGCCCAAAAAAGATTATCTCCTATGCAAAACGTTGGAGGAGTACACAGTTGTGAAAGCCTACATATCCATCTCCAGTCCTCAGAATCTGGACTAAAAGTGAGAATTCACCAACCACAATCTACCTCTCTGACTAGAATTCTTCCATTCGATACCCCCTGATATGTAATTGAGCTCAGCTTCAGCCCACCAGATTTTAAGTGTTTTATAGCACTCAAACTCCTAAAGGAGCATTACATCCCAACCACATTTGCAGCTACATTCTACAGCATTAATAGTCCTCATCTATCCTAGACCATTTTCACTAAGGCTGATGAAGTGCATTATTAAAAAGCATGCTGAAGTTCATTATTAAAAAGCATGCTTCTTGTCCTTTCTCTTTTAACTTTCCTTTGGAATCAATTGCAAAGGAAACATGTTCTCGTACATAAGAAGCATGGAAAAACCAGAACAGGGTAAACGGAAACGGAAGGAGGTCTTGATCTCCAAAAAAAAAAAACAAAAAAATCAAAAGATTAGGAGAAATAAACAGTGGGGTGCTTATAGCCTATAAGGGGGAAAACAAAAAATAAATAAAGATGGTGAAGATGGAACATACCTGATGCCATTTGAGGAGTTCAAGTATGGCAAGTACAATATCATTGACATAGCAGAAACCAGAAGCTTCACACTTTTTGGCATGGTGCAAGCCACCAGACCAATTAATAGAAATATCAGATTCCTTATTGTTGAGTTTAACAGCTGCCCCTACAGAGCCCCCCGCATAGGTCTGGCAAAAACTGTACAGACCATCGAAAACAGGGCAATCCTCCCCAACATTAAACCTCTTTAACTGCCTTAGCTGCTCATGCTGAGTCTCTGGTGTAACAGATTGCAAGAACGAGATATAGTCGTCGGCATGAAAAACCCTAAATTCATTGCTCTCTAGCAAGTTGGGTTTGCAAACCTCCATGCATTCAAGCAAGCCATAATTAAGCACAAGATTATGAGCCATTCTTATCCTGTGGGGCTTCATGGGGTGACCTTGACTGTAATAGTAATTACCAATTTCTGAGTCATAAAAATAAGAAACCTTCCTCTTTTTCGCATCCGTACCAGAAGGCAGCGAGCTTCCTGACTCATCATCCAAGCCCATCACGAGTTCAATCTCATCAACCGATGCAATGTAACAACCGCTTTTTCAGGAAGACTACTTGTACTAGTAGATCGATAAACAGAACTCACAGGAGAAGAAGAGAGAGAGAAAGAGAAAGAGAGAGAGAGGATAAGGAACTATGGGTATGAGTTAATGGACACGAAACCCACTTTTCAAGCCATGAAATCTCTCACATAAAAGGAAGACAAAGACCAGTTTTTTAAAGATAACCAGTCCAGTAGATCTCGACACAGTAAAGCTCAGAAACAACGAGGAAAGGAAGAGACTAGAGAGAGAATAGGGAAGGAAAGGAATAAGTGTGTGAGAGAGAGAAAAATAGTGAGAAAGAGAGAGGACAATGAAAATATGGAAGTGCAAAGTAGTAGGATTTAATGGGGTAGCGTTTAATACTGCAAAAAAGGAGTTGTTTTCAGGCAGCTGAAATGTCGCAAGGTTTTGCAGGTAGAAGAAGACGAAGAGTAGCAGGGAAGAGAGTTCTTTCCTCAATCTCTTACCAGTTCATTTTATGGAGCGCGTATACTATGCTCCCTCGAGATCATACTATTCATTTATTATGTTTTCAAAACACTGGCTCGTGAAATTCGGGATCCATCATCAATCTGGTTATGACTAGATCATTATCTTCAAATAAAAAAATTTAGATTTTTAGTTTATCCAAAAATTATTTTTTAACCACATAATGAATGAGTTAAAAAAAAAAAAATTTAAGTCAGATACTAACGATCATAACCCAAAATTTAAGATAAAAAAAAATAGGCTAAGCTTTCTATATCATAAAACCTATATGTTTACTTTTATCCAACCCTTCATAAAATCTATATATTTTTCTTTATCCAATCGTCCCAATCACAATGTCACGTCTCCACATTACTTTAAAAAAAAAATTTCTAGAAATTATTTTGACATCAAATTTTTAGCGTCTACTCCTCTCTTAAACTCGCATTTGTAAAAAAGTATTACAATAAAATAAAATAACTAAAATACTCCTAAAAATTTCAAGAGGTATTTTGGTTTTTATATTTTATCAAAAAAATTAAAAATTATTTTTCGTAGGTGCAACCCATTAAGAAGATAATACCTACCAAATTTCATATTCATACAATTTCTTTGAAAAACCTAAAAATAAAATACTTTGAGACGTCGGATCTAGATCAAACGGTCTGTGGCTCACGTGATCTAAAATAGACCGCTGGATGGGAAGGGAAACATTCATCTCTCTTGATGGAAAGGAACGATAAAAACCTTTCCCGAAGAAGGCATTATGAGAGTTTAAGTTTTGTCTAAGGGAGTAAATAGATATTATAGTCCCATAGGAATAAAAAGGTCTCTTCCTATCCATTACTTTCTTCATCAGTTGAGTTTTGGAAAAATTACCAAAACAAAACAATAACAATAACAATAACATTGTGCACTATCTATCCAACTTATCCCCATCCAAACCTTTTTTCTCACTTTTTTCCCCACAACAACCTTTCTTAGCAATAACCCCCAAGATAAAAAGTGTTATTTTTTTTTCCCACAACAATCTTTTCCATACAAAAAAAATTAATTGGCACTGACTATCAGTCCCAAGTAGCGTATTGCAGGAGTGCAGTATGCAACTGCCAGAACGAATTGTTTAGAACATAATACCGGAACGCATATGTATCGAGCGTTAGAGTGCTTTGTAAGAATTGCCGGATCGCTGTACACACTGTTGCAGTGCGTTCATATAATATCGGAGCGTTGAATATACTGAGCGTGCAATTACAGTGCTAGAGCGTTGTGGCTCCAGAGCCTCTATTGCTGGAGTGCCTTTATAGACTGTCGGAGCAAAATGTCTCCAAAAGGCATACCGTCGGTGTGCGTTCATATACTGCTAGAGCGTTGAACACACTATCGGATCGCCCAATTACACTGCTAGAGAGCTATGGCTCTAGAGCATATATTGCCGGAGCATTATTTGGGACTGCCGGAGCGCGTCGTCTCCAAAAACTATTCTACTGGAGTACACCTTTGTACTGCCAGAACGCATTGGGTAAATAAGAAAATGGGAAACATGAGAAAGAAGGGTGTGTGAAAAAAAAAAAAGTAGTTTAGTCTTTTTTTTTTCCTTTGGATTGGGGTTTTTTTTACGAAAAAATATTGTTGTGGGAAAAAAGTGAGACAAAAAAGTTAGATGGAATTAAGTAGCATAGATAGTATAGATTAGGGGGGTTTTTTATAATTTTCCTTTGATTTTTTTATTTTTATTTTTGCCCGTCATGGCGTTGGATTGGAGAAATGAAAATGGCAACCCCATCGAATCCGGTCCATTTTATGTGGAATGTATCTCCTCCCGGGATTTGCGTTCTCACTGCAGCGGAGGATCATAAATTTCTTTGTTTTCTTGAAATGGGAAGGGCGGGAATGGTGGGCCGTGACGGAACGTTGCATTTGGTTCCTGAGAATTGAACTGCTAGGGAAATGTGTACCTTAGAATTGATATCTTTTAAAATTTGCATTTCTAGAAGATGGGTGTATGCCATTTGGATAGTATGTCACGAAGACTGGATGATACATCGATGTGTCTTCAAAAAACTTTAAAATTTTCATTGTATTATTATTTTATTATTTTTGATATGATATTATAGTATTATTATATTATAATAATATTTTTATATAATAATGATACAATAATCATAATATATTTTTATTATAGTAATTATAATGTTATTATTATATAATATCATAATTATTGTTATTATTATCTATTATAATAATTCATTAATAATATATTATTATTTTATTAATATTAATATAATGTTATAATATTATTATAATATAAAAATATTATAATAATGTAATATCATAATTATGATAATTATCATCAACGTCGTTCAACTCTCATCATCATGTGTCTTTTTTTATTCCATAATTGCTCTCTCTCTCCATTATCTCTCCCTCTTCCCACAATCAAAAGTTTATAAAATCCAATCTCTCTCTCTCCCTCTTTCCACAATATAAGGTTTCTAAAATCCAATCTCTCTCTCCCTCTTTCCATAATATAAGGTTTCTAAAATCCAATCTCTCTCTCTTTCTCTTCCCAATGCCAATCTAAGGCTCCTAAATCCATTATCTCTTTTCTCAAAATTGGTGCATGAGAGAGAGAATATTGATAGAGATAGTGATAAATAAAAGGAAAAAGTTTATATAAGGTTGCCACCTTAAAATGTAGAAGTAAAGATTGCACCTAAAAAATATATCGGAAAATATTGTTTTAATGTTGAAAAACCCTCTAATTGATCATCTTGACGTCAAGATGAATAAATATGATAAATAAATAAAATTTGAGTCCCATAAATAGTGTATCTTACTACACATTATCTAGAACGTCCATTTTCAATATTTTCATAAGTTTATAGATCTAATTGATTTTAACCATTCTTTTAATTTAAAATTTGATAATTAGATATAAAAATATATTTTCAGATAAAACCTAAAAATTCCTTACACCAAAATTAGGGTGCAGTTTGTATAGAGCCTAGGCTCTAAACAATCAAATAAGAGCCTACCTTCAAATGGTGGCGAGAAATGTGGTTTCAATATTGAAAATTTTTGTGATAGCCTGAAATATATGTTTTTTTTTATTTATAAAGTTTAAAACTTAAAAAATACTGTATATCGACATATCTATGAAAACTTGAAAATATTGAAAATTGATGGTCCAAATATGTGTTACAAAATATATTATTTCCAAAACTTAAAATCCATTTTTTTTCTCTTGTCCATACATCTTGATGTCGAGATGATCAATTTGAGGATATTTGGACATCAAAACAACCTCTTCTAATAAAGTTTTTGTGATAGGCTCTAATTTGATTGTTTAGAGCCTAGGCTCTATATAAACTTTTCCCTTACATATTAGGATACAATTTAGAGGCGTGTTGTAATTGGATTGTTTAAGGTCCTTATAGAAACCAGACCCAAAATAACAAGGTATAAACTCTTTTCTAAAACCTCTCTCTCTCTCAATAACTCTCTCTTTCCACGCACCTCTTCCCCTCTCTCTACCTTTCTCCCTCTACGAACCTTCCTATTTATATGGGATTTCCCTCTCTCTACCTTCTCTCTCCACGAATCTTCTTATTTATATGGGATTTTCTTTCGATCATTCTCTTCTATCTACAGTTTTTTCAAATTCTCTCCATCTATTGATTTTTCATTCTCTATTTCATTGTTCTTTTTCTTATTTATATGATCGTTTTCTCAAATTCTCTCCCTCTCTACTGATTTTTCATCATCTATTTCATTTTATCTCTCTTATTTATATGATCATTTTCTCAAATTCTCTCCCTCTCTATTGATTTCTCATTCTCTAATTCTCTCTCTACTGATTTACTCATTCTCTATTTTATTGTAGTTAAATAAGCTTTTTGGTTGCTACCTCGACTCCTATGATTTAAAGTTCCACTTCCAACGGTGTTGCTGCATCGGAACCATCAACACCCATCCAAATTGAACTTGATAATGGGTAATGCAGCTTATATTGCATAATTTGTTTGTTCATTCTTAATGTTAAATATTTTTGCTCTCCCAATAACTTTTTTATTAATATTTCATATTTTTATGTTTTTGTGAGCTTCCTGGTTGTATCCAATGCCCTAGAATTTTTTCATAAATGATTTCTTAACTAGATTTCAAATGTAGGCAGCTACTTTGGGCTTTCCATGTTTTTTAATTGTTGTTGTTGTTCTTGATTGGTTTACAGGTTAATGTGAGCAATGCATTTTCTTCTTTATGTGATTGTGTGAAACGAATGGTGGTTATATCACCAGATCGTATCAAAGTGTCAAGGACTTTGAGTCCTCAATGATAATGGCCTTCTCTTAGAGAGAGTTGCTCTCTGTGGCCCATGTGGTTTAAAGTTCCAACTGTGTAGGATATGAATTTAGGAAATAAGTGTATTATTGTGTTTTGGATGAGTTTTTTGTATTGTATTTCTATAATAATTGTACCCAGTAGGTGTTATTTTTATTAGAATGTTGTAGTTATAATTAGATTCTATAATTGTAATTATTATTATATTTTAAAAAATTTATTTAAATTTTATTATTTTTCCATGCATAACTTCTCTCTCCTCTTTATTTCTATATACATATATTTCTATAAGGGTGCGGTATGTATATAGCCTAGACTCTAAACAATTAAAGCCTACTTTCAAATAGTATCAAGAAATGTGATTTCAATACTGGAAATATTTGTGATAGCCTTCAAATATATTTTTATCTTTATTTATAAAGTGTAATAAAGCTTCAAAAATAGTGTAGATCAAAAGATATGTGATAACTTGAAAATCTTGAAAATTGACGGTAAAAAAATGCTTTACAAAATACATTATTTCCAAACCTTGAAATCTATTTTTTTTCTCATGTTCATACATCTTGATATGCATCTTGATGTTGAGATGATCAACTTTAGGATATTTGAGCATCAAAAC